AAGGTTAGTTCATGGGAAGGAGATATATTGGATTTGTCCACCTTGGTATGAAAGTAGACATTTTCTCATATGTTAAAGACTGGATTGGTGGAATTACAATAAAATAAATTCTTGAAGCAAATACTTTATAGCCCAAATGCCTTCTAGCTTTGTTAAAATTGTTGCATCAAAAGTTATGCAATTCAAAAATCATGTTTATCTCTTTCTATCCATTCATATTATCCATGCCCTAACCTTCTTTTCCTTGTTTAGATTGGGATGCTGATTGGTTATGATGCTTTATTTCAGTTAATATAATTGTTGAAATCTCTTGACAAATCTAAAAACAAAGAAAAGAAAGTTGCAAGGAAAAGCAAAAGTTTGATTTAATGATCATGGTGCTTATCCTATCTTGCAATAATTCGAGAATTTCCCCCAATGAACTAGAGATGCTCTCAAATCACTAAACTTTATGCAAAGCATGTCATCGAGCCTATTAATGAATGCACAACATAGAGGACACTTGACTCTTGCCAAGTAAAGACATCCACCATATGTTCAGGGAAGTTTCTTAACCTCTTTACCTTATCTTATATATGAAGATTGTCTCACTTACATATGTTTCATGGCTGCGGATCTTTTAATCATTACTTTTATCTAGCCTTTTGGTTGCATTTTACACTCATTAGGCCTTGATACTCTACTTTTTTTGGTCATTTGACCATACTCATACTCTACTTTTTTGGGTCATTCGACCATACTCAAACTCTATTATTTCAGGTCATTCGACCATACTCATACTCTACTTTTTCAGTTATTTGACCATGCTCATACTCTATTTTTTGGTCATTAGACCATACTTATACTCTACTTTTTTGGTCATTCGACCATACTGATACTTTACTTTCTCCGGTCACTCGACCATACTGATACTCTACTTTTTTGGTCATTCGACCATATTGATACTCTACTTTCTCCGGTCACTTGACCATACTGATACTCTACTTTTTTGGGTCATTCGACCATACTTATACTCTATTATTTCAGGTCATTCGACCATACTCATACTCTACTTTTTCAGTCATTTGACCATGCTCATACTCTATTTTTTGGTCATTAGACCATACTTATACTCTACTT